CCAAGGCTTGAACAGCAATGGGTAGAACTTCCCATCGCTGTTTGGCATGGTTCTGGAAGTTTGTTTGGCTAAGGGACCGCTTACCCATCGATGGGAAGATCTTCCCATCGCTGGGTGGGTGGTTAGTCAGGAACCCATGGTTTTTGGCTTAACCACGGCCTAGCCAACCGGTGTAAGAACCGACCGAAAAAATCAAAGTTCTCCAAAAACAAAACCAAGTGCTTAAAACACTTATTTGATGTATTTGGCTAAGAAATCAAGTAAGACACTTTAAAAACCACGTCATTTGAGTGAAAACCACGGCTAGCCGAGTTTATGCCGTTTTGAATGATTTTTGTCAAACGACCAAAAGCGAAAGATGGTTTTCAAGGTGTTTTTGTTGGAGAACCGTTTAAACATGCCAAAGAGTGAAAACCAATCATAAAAAGTTGAAAACCACTTGGTTGGTTCGGACGCCAAAAACCATAGCCGATAACCGAGAGCCGAACGCCGGTTTCTGAAACCCGAACGCCGGATGGCTTGGTTTTTGGTTTGGGCGAACACCAAGTGTTTTTAATGTTTTAAACATGTTTGAAAAACATTTTTATGATGTGAGAAATGCAATGGGAGATTTTAGCCTAAAGAGCCACGGTGTAAAGATTGGGTCGGCCTTGATCACAATAAAGACCGACTCAACAACACTAAGTCTAATGTCTTCGTTCTTGGTCTTCTTTTAGCTCTTCTTCAACTTTTCCATTCTTCGCCTTGTATATTCATTGTTTTGACTTGATCACGGCGGTTTGGCATTATCAAAACCTGTTACAAAAACGAACACGGCTTTAGTACGAAAACGTGACAAGCCAGTGTTTCAACACAAGCCAGTCTTCGATTTCCACCTTCGGTCAATTTTATACTGTGCCAATATGACTACACTTCTCACACCCAATACTGATGTTAGAGGTCCATCTCACTTCTGCAAGTGCTCGTTGACATATGCTCTTAAATGTGTAGGATTCCAATGCTTACTTTGGACGCCATTAGGATCGGAGTTGTTGCATTGCCCTATACGAGATTCTGCATTAAGAGATGTTGCATTGGCCCCTATACGGGATTCATGCTATTTTTTTAGTGGCGTGTGAAGATTGTATCCTCAATAGATGTCTTTATCATCAGATACAGAGTAAGCATTAACATCGAGTTTTAGTGATTTGTTCTATATTGTTTGTTTGGCTAATAGTAAATTATATTCTTTTATTGTGTGCTTTGCTATTTAGATTTATAATCTAAAATATGTATATTTTGATACGTAGACTTTTTTCCTATTGAATGATACCCTGTATTGGTTGTACTTATTATTCAATTTAAATCTATTATATATACAATTAAGCATTTATTGTACATTTTTTACCACCTCAGCTGTCCATGTGGCAGATTCTTTTTTTGCCTTCCAATATATGGCAATTGTGAAACTTAATTTCTTCCATGCCTTCTTGGCTCTCGAGATACGAAACTTTAAAAGACTGAAATCTTTGATCAGTATCAGATCCTCATCCTTAATTATCAATCCTCATCCTCAAAATTCTGAAAATCTTAATCATTTTCCCGATCCTCGGCAAGCTTGGATATCTCAAGTTACCGGTACGCTTAGCCAACCGAAGCTTATCTCAGCGCTTGCTATTAGAAATAGTCATAGAGGCAAATTCTTGACTACGACCATCCAGTTTGTCTCGATTAAAATTTGACCAAATGGTGGTAGACTTATCCGAGATGGAGTGCAATGGTGGAGCTTTGTGGATTTCATTACTTTGGACATCCTCAAATACTTCAATTTTTTGAGCTGCATTTTTGTTGCTTCAACATTCTAGTTATGAAACAATTTTTTTCTTTGGTGTATGTTTTGATCATTATTGAATTCAAATCTAGACATATATTTTTAATAGATATTCATACTCAAGATATGTGATGAAATTATGTGCGGGATAGTGTTAGGAAGTAAATGGGCTTTTCTACAGGCTTTATTATGTATATTTCTATATGGACAGAAATCAAATATGGAGATGCCTAAGAAGTTCTTTCAGGAAACTTAGGGGGTGTTTGTTTTTTCTGCAAGAAAAGGTCTGCAGTCTGCGGACCAGTACTGTAGACATCTGCAGGAGAAGTGGTGGACCGAAGGTCTGCGGTCTGCAAGAAGAAGACTGTTTGTTTTTTAATGTCTGTAGATTGCTATATAAATTAATGGTAGTAGTGTACGGTGGTGGTGTATGGACGATTGTGGTAGTGGTGGAGGGTGGTGGTGAAGGGTGGTGGTGGACGTTGACGGCAGTGGTGGTAGACGGNGACGATGGTGATGGACGGTGACGGTGATGGTGGACGGTGGTAGTGGTGGACGGTGGCGGTGGACGGTTGTGGTGGTGAAGAGAAGTAGAAAAAAAGGAGAAGATGTTAGAAGACATTGGTTAATGTCTTCTCCAAGAAGATGCCAGGAAGACCTTTTTGAGTGAAATGTCTTCCAAAAAACAAACAATCTGCCGAGCCCATCATCTTCTGCGCGGCGCAGACAAAAGACGCCAGAAGGTCTTCTGGCAGAAAAACAAACACCCCCTTAGTATCCCTAATAAAATTGAAGTTGACAGGTTACGTTTATAGGTATTTCTCAAATTTGTTCTTATCATTAATGCTTTGCTACTTGCGAATCCACTAGATCTAGAAGCCTTATTCATATTGTCTGTTTGTGCCACCCCCTTTAAGTTCCTGAACTCTACCAGTTCTTCTTTTGCATGAAAAGCTAGAATTTACAACTCTATAACGGTGTTGTATTTGATGATAAGTTGACATGGGAGGTTTTGTGCTAAAGCTGGTGATTATGATGCAAGCAGCATATTTCATGATGTTTTAACAAAATAGTTTGTTGCTTGGACTGATTGCCGAATATGCAAGCAACATATCTCAAGATGTATGTAAGTAGCATACTTCACGATCTTTAAATTTGTTGATTGCTTTCCGTTTAAGTTAATTCATTGATTTCAGAATGGTTCCCTAACTTCTCTTTGATTTTCAGAAGCTGTTCCATAGCCATGCTGGACAAGACATCATGTTGCAAGCCATTTACGGTCTGTGTAATTCTTCAAATTCCCTTACCTTCCTTTGATTTTCAGAAGCGTTCTGTAGCCATGTCTGAATAATGTTTTTGACATTATTTCATATGCTCACTAAGGTATGTCGATCTGTTTTATATGTAAAAGGAGTTTTTTAATAAGTGATTTATTTGCTTAGGTATTTTCCGATCCCCAAATTTCTCTCTATATAATAAAACATGAAACCTACTCTCAAATTTTTTGTGTTAATTAGTATTTTAAATTTCTGAGTTTTCAATTCTGAAAAGAGAGAGGGCCAATTGCAAAACAAAAAAGTATGTTTTATACTATAAACATTAATCATCGTCAACTATAACCCAAAAAGCACTGGGTGCTTTTTTCTTATCCAAACTTGCTATGTTTTTTTCTACCATATAATTTAGTAGTTTTTTGTGTTTCATATAATGGATAAAAAAGTTTATGGTACATTAGATTACATTTCAAGTATGACCAGCCCTGATCTTTGTTCTTATGTGTTCTTTGTTTGTCATTTTGTTTTTGGGAGTAAGTGGAAAGTGGTAGTAGGATGAACTAAATAACTGTATGCTAAATTGCTAAGCATGAAAAGATAAGAAAGCTTTTTATTTGTACTTGGTTTTAGTTGAAAAATGTACACAATAATTGTAGTTGGGACGCCCATTTCCTATGATCTATATATATCTAATGAACAAAGAAAATAACCAAATTATCATAATTTGGACACTTCAATTATTACTCACTTGGACACAAACATAAAGCTTCTTGAATGCTAAGCACGATTTTCTACTCAAAAGATCCTGCATTTTGTTTAGATAAATTTTTTTCTAAAGATACCAAAGTATCACAAACTGGGTACTTCATTTATTATGATCTATTTGATGAAAAAATCAAGAATTAATTTATTAAAAGAGTGTTTACCTGATAATTACCATCCTCGAACCTTAGACTCTATTTTCATTAGACCCTAGACGCATTATTGCATTTACTACCCTATACATCACAGTAACTAACAAACAAGGGAAATTTAATTTTCCATTTGGTTTCAGTACATTATGTGTAGAGCTAAACCCTAAAGCGTTGAGTGTTTGTCAATGATTGGGTACAAACATGTAATGCATCAGTGGGCAGTGAATATGATAGAGGTATCTTCCTAATTTTAGTTATTTAGTGTTACATACATCACTTAAGATTATTTGTTAAAGATTTAGGAGGGTGTATTCAATCTAGACTTTACAGGATTTTTTTGTATTTCAGCACTCTACGGGTATTCAACTAGGATTTTGAAAAATCATTTAAAATCTCAAAGTATTCAATTTAGATTTTAAAGAATCATTTAAAATCTCAAAGTATTCAATTAAGATTTTAAAATGTTCATCAAAATTTAACAGTATTGAAAAATCATTGGATTTCCAAAATTTTTTATTAAATAAGGATTCTAAAGGATTTTAGAATTCTTTTTATACATAAAATGCTGCTATATACAAATCCCACCACAAATATAGGGATTTTGATGGATTCTTCTGTATATTATATTGATCCGCACTTCTTCCGTTCAGATTGTCTTCCATATCTCGATCCTCTGCTACACAATCGGTTCATCTTCCGTTTCTCCATCTGGTCGGCGGCACAATCGCCCTGCTTCTCTTGTGCTCTTGTGTCCTCTGGCGACGGTGGAAAGAATTGAACTTGTGGTGGCGTGAGGCTGGCTACTCGCAGACTGCAGCGACCCTCCTTCGCTGCTTTATTCCAATCGAAGCTATGTTGTTCTCTTCAGATCTTTGGTTGCATCAACTTCTTCTTCTCGATTAGATTTCTCCCTAAAATCTCTTGATGAAATTTCCTTGCACCCAAACTTGGTCGTTAGGCCAGAGCATTATTTCCTTCATCGTTGCAATTGTTTTGCACCAATTGATGATTAGGTCTGATGTTTTTTTGTCCGATCGACTTGCCGGAACGCCCGGAAGTGAAGGCGCCATTGATTTTGATGTTGTCTTCCAATTCAGAAATGAGTTGGGAAGAAAAATTTTTTTGACTTTTAAAAATCTAAACAAATCTTAACAAGTCTTGGTAATATGATACATTAGAATCTATCGAAATCTGAGTAGAGTTTAAACAATTTATAAATCTTACGTAATCCATGGATTATTAAAAATCTAACATAATCATTTAAAATCTGAATTGAATACACCCCCTTTAGTATGCCATGTTTAGGCAATTTATATGGCTGCTTGCAAAAAGCTTTAGGAGATGGAAGCCTTGATTGATATGCTCCTGCCATACAATGGTGAAGGAGATTCCCATCCGGGGACAACAAAGTGAGGGATATGGAATCTTATCATGATGGTGTTTCTCACATATTTCAGGACAGTGACTCTTAATCCTATTATCTAATACAATTACATATCAATGTTGTTAAGTAAGATTAAGAACATCTGCGCGTGTTTGTGTAGACACCCGAGTGTTCAATGCCTCTAACTTCAGTGTTACTCATATTGATCTGTCTTCATTGCATTCTTGAATTTGTAAGTCATTTCTTTCATATGAGTTATGAGTAATAAAAATATCAAATTTGTTCACCATCCCTTTGCACTTTTGCACACACATAGTAACTAATTATCCATACGTTATTTGTTTACAAACAATTTTATAAGTCCATCATACGCTTTGAATTTTTTAAACTCATCAATGGTATTGATGGAGGATAGCCCCAGATGACACGTCAACCGGGCCCCAGCTTCCACGTGGACGTCTTCTGGTCGGCCCACGAGCTCGGCTCATCTGGCGAGCTCGGCTCGGCCCATGTGCTCGGCTAGGGAAGGGACAGCGACCCGCGTGACAGCGACGGCGGATAGCGACTGGCTTCGTTGACTATGCGATAGCGATAGGATGAAAAGGACAACTCATGGCAGAGATGACGTCCACTAGGCGACGCGCCTCGATCAGAGGACTTTGACCGTTTGTATTGTATCTCCTATAAAAGGGGCGAGACCCCTCAATGTAATGGATCGAAGTTCGAAATAAACAAACTCCTACTTTGCATTCTCTCTCTCTAAAAAACATATAATTTCTTATTATCGGTGGTTTATCGCCATCAGGTATGTTTCTATTGAGTTCTTAAGCTGCCTCCAAAGTATCATTCTACTGCTCCTATGAAATTGGTCATTCACAAATAATTGGCTTTAAAACATGTGCACGTTGTTTGTAATGACTATATACAATCAAGTTTCTCATTGTGCGTGTGATTTATGTGCACAAAAGAATTTCTTTAATGGTTGTCTATATGTAATAGTGATGTTCTCTACTAAGATTCCCATACTCTAAGATTAGGTACTTAATGTTGGAAGGTGTTATGGTATACATAAGAAATTGTTGTTGGGTATTGTAATATGATTTCTATTGCTTTTAAAAAAAGATTTATTTTTAAAACTAAGTTTCATGATTTTTTGATTTTTAAGATAAAGATAAGAGAAGGAAAGACTAAGGCTATGTGTTATGGGGGTGCTTGACGGGGGGGGGGGGGGGGG